GTTTCCATTTTGAAGCTGATACATTTATCTCTCATAAAATATCAAACATATTAATATTTTCCACCAAGAAAAGTTTCGAATTTAATGGAACATTTACATGATCTATAAAAGTATAGTATATCTCAACTTCAATTTTCATAAATTGGCCAAAATTCGCCAATTCTAATTTTAACAGATATTAATTAATAAATGATTAAGGATTATAATAAACTAAGTCATTTTAGGGTTAACGAGGGTTAACTATTCGAAAAATGAATCCAAAACCTGAGTATTTTTCAGTTTTACGCTGACTTAGATTTATAGTCGAACCAGTAAATCTTTAGACACAATTATAATGAACACAGAAGTAATTTTAACATAAATATTTTACGGAATCCGTTCCTGAAATACCTGTATACAGTATGAATAATAACATACCAAAAGCCCGAAAAAATCTAATCAGAGGAACATTGTTCATTATAAAGATATTTAATGGGTTAAAATCAAACGTTTTATTGCACAACTGCTCTGCTGGAAGCGTATAAATGCATGTCGTTGCCAAGTTGTTGCTAACGAAAAAATGTGAATTATAGGGTAATAAGCCTGCGCGCGATCCAAAAGCGGGTAACACATAGGTTTGACACGTCAAAGGGATCTGTTGCCGAGTGATCTCCTTCTCAATAATACCTCCATGATACACTTGAAACCAAATCAATGTAAAAAAATTACAATGCCATTTTAAGAAATAAAGTGCTCTATTTAACGTTTATAGAAAGCCCAATTTAAACTCCCAAAAAAATGCAAAACAAATGGGATGTTATAAAAAGCAAATGGGATGTTAATCTATAAATGAATACAATACGGTAGATTAATAGCACTGTAAATTTATCCACGATACTTCCAACAAAAACAGAATAAAATTATGGATTTCTTTATCTACAAATTTACTGCAAACTACCAGAAAATGAAGAACACATTATTTAAATGCAAGAATATAAAATCATATTGGGTATTTGTGTATTACAGTATTTGCATACTGTAATACACAAACCAAATAAATGTAAAACAAAATAATTACATTGCCATTTTAAAGAAAAAAAGAGTTAGAAGACTTCTATTTAACGTTTAAAGAAGCCAAATTTAAACTCCCAAAAAATTCAAAGTAAATGATACTGTAAGTTAATCTACAGATAAATACAATAGATTGAGATGCATGTTAATACTGTAGCAGAATAAGATAAACTAGATGCACTTGAAAAATATCGCACACTTTAACTTTAAGTTTATTCGCATGATACTTCCAACAACAAAAAAAACTACAAATATGGAATCTATCCCCCTTACAAATTTTTGTGATTACTGCAAAGTACCTGAAAATGAAGTTAACATGTTATTTAAATGCAACAATATAGAATCAAATTGTGTAAAGCAGTGGCAGATCCAGAATTTTTCAAATGGGGGGGTTCACATCTCACAGACAAAAGTTAATGAAATTTGGGATGACACTCACACCAGCAGATGTAAAGCAGATTGACGGATTATATAACATACCTTGTAAGGAATATGAAGACGCGTGGACTATGATCATTGACCTAGAAAACAATCTAAAAATCAAAGAAAATATGACAGATTTCTGTCAATCATTGGAAGCACTTAATCTCCGCCTGGCGTTGAATGCATTACAAGAAGGTAGAGTAATTCTATTCTAATCTCGTTGCCTTTTTGATTTGATGCATATCCAGTGGTCAATACTTTAATAAATATAACTGTAAATAATACAGCTATGTCTATACCTGTCTCTTATACACATCTAGATGTGTATAAGAGACAGATATATATATATATATCGTATTATTTAACAAAAAAAGATATATATATATATATTTGTTAAAAATATTAAAAAAAACAAGATTAATACACTGGGTAGGAAAAAATGCAGAATTGTATTAATGTAATTGTTCA